AGAAGTTACATTCTGTATCACATAGGCAATTGAAGCCACAAACAGAAATTGGGATGCATTTTCCACTTGTTAGTGAACTAGGGATAAATCTAAACACGAGAAAACATATAGCTTATTATTTTGATTCCTTCTGCATCTCTGCTCAGCTGAAAGAGCTTGAAAGAACACTGAAATTAGAGGGAAAGCAACAGACCAAATACATGAAGGAGCAATGCACACTGCCTCTCTCCTGTGAAAATGAAGATACAGGTTCTAGAAAGCTTTGGAGGCACAAAGCTTGTTAAATCCATGTCACATTTTTCAGAGGAAGCCAGATGTATTTAGGGAAATGTTGCTGGCAACATTACTGTTGCTTAAAAAAACCCCACAACTGCTTTCTAAACGTAACTTTCTCTTAGTTATAAAGTACTAGTTACTTTCATCAAAGGAAATTTTAAGATACATTTGCTTGTTAACTGTATACCTAGTGACTTTTTTTTCTGTTGAAGATCAACTTGACTTTTTGTTTAAACAATACCACAGGGTAACTAATTAGAGAGTGGTAAGGAGAACTGACAAAGTAGTAGCACTGGCAGAGAGAAGAAAATCAAAGTTTCCCCCTTGTTAGTGTCAAAATGTATGTGACTGAGTGACAACCTAGTTAGCTAATTCCATACAGGAGTTATTTTGCTTTGTGACCTCTGTTTTTAAAACCTTGGATGCATAACTTAGAGTATACGGAATCAAGTTAGGTACACTTGCTGAAAAAGCATACCTTCCAAAGACTCTTTGGCAAGGCATTTAGACCCTCATGTAAACTCCAGTTCTTCAATTGCCATGTTTGCTGAGGACCTGTGAAGAAGTAGCAGTTGCAGAAGATAGCCAGTTCACATGCCTGTACTGCAAACAGTGTTATGCTGACACTGTAATGTGAGCAATTGAAATGCATAAGTAGGATGGGATATCTGAGGCTAAAACAGACCCCCTAAATATATTGAATAATTAACTTTACTGAAACCAGAAGCAAAGTACCCAGCATTTAAACAAGAAATGCTGGGCCTCTTTTCTGTGTACATGAAAAATGAAACAAAATTAAGTCTTGGAGCACAGTCTTAGATAGGCTTGGAGTCCTAAATGAAAGGAAGGACACAAATTCAATAACAGAATTCAAAGCCTCCAGTAGGTTTCAGGCTCAGCACAGGGTGATACAGGAGAGTGGAGCCCAAACATCTCTTTGCAAATCCTTATAGAAGTCTTATTGAAGGAACAGAGGGATTACATAGCTGGTTTTCATGTGTTAAACTTGTCTTTCAACTGAAAAGAAGTCCTAGTTGACTTCAGTGACAAAATAGGACTGTATTAGGCACTGAGTAGGATTTCAGGACTTCAGGTTTATTGATGCACTTTATATTCCCTTGGGAAATAGTGGTAATCGCCTGTTTTCCCCTTAGAGAAGTGACTTTGTACTGATCTGTACCAGATACTCTCTCCGTGATACATTATGTTCTGCAGAGCTGGTAAAAAGCCTTCACTCCAACTTTTAGCATATTGTTGTACTGCTTAGTGCTGGTATGAAATTAAATAGCAGCAGTTTGGGACTCATGCTGCTTTGTGCCCTTGTTTTTTAAATATTTTTTATATTCATGGGTCCTGTTGTTTTATTATAACATCCTGCACAATATGTGGGGTGCTTTAGTTGAGAATAAATTGATCATTCAGATTTTTTATTAGTCTTCTTGAGGCATGTCAGTCAAGTCATACTAACTGTAAAACACTGAGCAATGATTAATGAACCCTTTAGAGAATGCAGGTGAGTTCTGCTTCACATTGTAGTTACCAGTTTTCTCAGAACGTTTGCTAATGCTATAAGCTTCCATATCTGGGAGATTTGCTGTGTGCTGGGCCCTATTAAAACAGCTTAGTTTCCTGCTGGCACACCACAATGCTTTAGGAAAACATTGCCAATCGGAAATGCTGGCCACAGGGTCTTACATAGAGTTTATTTGCTTCTTGAGCCTCTTCTTTGAAGGATGCTGAGGAGCTGCAGTCCTGGTTCTTACTGCTGAGAGCTACTTCCTCTTGGGACTTCTGAAAACTAGCATAATGTGATTCAACTTGAGTCTAAAAATGACTGCATGAATCATTAGGTAGTAAGCGCTCTGGGGCCTCAGCCAGTCTTCCTGTTCTGCATTTAGGTAGTGTGTAATATTATAGGGGTTTAGATTTGAGTGTCTTATGACCTATGCAATACTCTAGATATTAATAGTAGTCATAACTAAGGGATATAGTTTGTCTGCTTCTGATCTCATCAGAGCCATGTTTCAGATCTTGCAGAGCTGATTGTAGGAATTCAGTCTTTACACCCCAACCTTTATTATTTGAGCAGCAGACCAGTCATTGTAGTAACTACTCTGTTCTACACACAGCAGTTCCCCCCAAAGTAAAGTAAAAACTGTGAGATGGAAAAAAGATACTTGATGTAAATGCCATTTGAGTAAATGAAACATCTCTACCTGAAAGGAGGTTGTAATGAGGTAGGGGTTGGTCTCTTCTCCCAAGTAAGAAGTGATAGGACAAGAAGTAATGGCGTCAAACTGTACGGGGGATGGGGAGGAGGGTTAGACTGGATATTAGGAAAAATTTCTTCACAAAGAGGGTACTCAGGCATTGGAACAGGCTGCCCGGGGCAGTGGTGGAATCACTGTCCCTGGAAGTGTTCAAAAACCATGTAGATGAGGCCCTCAGTGACATGGTTTAGTGATAGACTTGGCAGTGCTGGGGTAATGATTGGACTTGATGATCGTAAAAGGTCTTTTCCAACCTAGTTGATCCTATGATCAGGCATTGTAACTCTGAAGTGTGCAATTGGAAATGAGGATTTCTGTGATGTCCTGTCCAAACATGCCAGAAGGTACAATATTTTCCATACAGTTCTCTTAAAATTATATTGCCTATTCAGTAAAATTTTTGATTGGACACTGATTATCAGCAAAGCACAAGGAAAGATTAGGGGATGCATTGTTGCCCAAGCCAACTGTTCAAAGATGACTTAAAGTCACAAGGTTTGTTTAAAATATATATAATAACTTGGGGTTCATCTCTATTTGCTGTCTTGCTCAGGGGCTTAGATTTTTTTTGACTTTGGATCTGTAACCAGGCTGATGAAAGACCATTTTTTATCAGGGGAATTGAAGGTCATCTGTAGTCATGGGATTGCATGAGTTAGCCTTCAGGGAGAAACACCAGATATTACATTATTTAGTGACATGGAGTAACATTATGTCCTTTTAGATTGCTTTTCAGCACCAGAGAAAGATGATATTTCTAGTGATTCTTACTAAGAATGTGGATAGACCTTCTTGTTTCTGTGTTTTCAATGAATGATAGTGAACCTTCTTTATAGCCATAGGCAGATCACATTTTGCGGCATGTGGGGGTAAACCACTTCTCAGATCAGCATGTTTGTGTGCAAATGAATGCTTCCTTAATGGAATGCCCATGTTTCTCTGAAAGGGCTACAGGTGTGTCAAAGCAGGGTTTGCAAAGAGCAACCATGATTCAGGCACTTTCATGACACTGGAAGAATAAAAGTGAATGTTGCTGAGAACCATAAAGAATTACAGAATGTAACCATCCTCCTTTTAATCTAATCTTGATGGCTAATCCTCTGTGAGCAGCAACATTTATGACATTCAAAATGGAGTTTGAGTGAATTGATTCCAGAATCTCATTGATGGCCTCAGTGTAGCCTAAAAGCCACACATTCTTAAAAGTAAAATGCAAAACCTCTGTCAGACTCTCCTCTCCACTGGGCCTTGCAGAGGGACCTGGCAGTTAGCTTGTGTGGGCTTTACAGCAGGTCTACAATCTGTCATGCTGGTGGCCACTCAAAACTGCTTGAAGTTCTGAGCTCAAGGTTGGGACCTGGAGGCATGTGGGCCTTATTTATATAGAAAAGGAGTAGCATGACTATATCTACAATTTCTTTCCATTCCCCAGTGTGCAGGTTAAACCAAATCAGACTATAGAAGATAAGATTAATTAGACTAATACACCTTAACCTATTTTTCCTTACTGAACTGAAATTTGTGTGCCTACATCATCCTATTATTGTTGCCCAAAGATATAAGATACACTTATACACCAGAATGTTGCATGTGATGAAATTATGTTGGCACTCACCTAAAATAACAGTGAGGACAGAGCAATTCCAGGTAGAACTTTGGGTAAGCTTCTTTTGTTTAACTATGGTCTTGTCTGTAAACTTTACTGCAGCTGGCCCAAGTTACACTGGCATGATGGCTGTCTTAATCTGAGTTAAGATCCTCCTTGGGTTTGGGTATGGGGTTTGGGGTTTGCTTTAGTTCCTTCTGGACAAAAGGAAATTAGAATAAGAGTATTTATAGTATAAGAACAGCAATTAGAAAAGCAGCTAACATGATAAAGAAGGCTGCAATTTTGTGGATGGGGAGACTTGAAATCAGAGTGACATAACTTTCTAGAAGTAAAATCAGAGCCCCCAGCAAAGCAGGGACTAGGATGCAAGATCTCCTGGTCACTTTTCACATCTTATTTGCACCTTTGTGTTTTTGTAAGTCAGGGAAAAGACCTGTGTAAGGGAGAGAGGAGGTTATTTTATTCTTGAGCCTGTGTGACTTTCACAACTAGTTTGTGGCTGTGTCTGCAACTTTTCAGATACTCAGTAGGTAGGGCTCAGTTCTCCCTTTTGGTAAGCAGAATTCAGGTCCAAGCCTGAGGATGTCTACACTCCTAGGCATAGCCTAATCTGGGAGCATTTATTGATACATAATGCTAGATCTCACAAGCAATCTGAAGTGACATAGGGACCTTACTGACTGCTGAGCCTATTTGCCATAATCTGTCCTCTGCAATGGGAAGAATAAGCAACAGGTAACCATATTATTTCTAATGCCAGCAGAAAGCAGCCTGTATCCCAGGTAAATTTTTAACAGAAGGTGGAGAACTAATCTGTCATAAAGAATTCATTCTTTCCCATTCAGGCTATGAGGAAAGTTACACTGATCAAGATGCAAAGAATGCCAGAAAAAAACAATAAAAGATTGGAAGAATTGTGAATTGTGCAAAGACAGATCTCCTTCTCAGGTTTTGGGAACAGTTTGCTGCCTAAAGGTAAATTTTCCAGGTTTTTGCAGAAGCAATGCTGTGTTTGGTACTTTTTGTAAGACTTCAAATATTACAGTTAGAGATGTGTTTGGGCCACTCCTTCAGGAGGTGAAAATCTTCCTGACTTAATGCCTACTGTAGAATGTCCATCGTTACAATGAAATATTTCATAATGGCAAAGTATCTCAGGGAATATTGTATAGCTGAAATAACTTATCGATACTTATGTTTCACTGACTAGAAACGTTCTGAGTGATATTACAGGATACTGCAGGAATAGCACCTGTAGCTGGAAGGGGCTTTGTGTAAAATTCTCATGACTGCAAACCCTAATGAAACTTTGTAAGCAACAATGAGAAATATAACAGCAAAATAATAATTAAAAAAACAAACAAGGCAAACCCAAATGCACACAAGCCCAACTAAGAAAGAAATAGCTCTAGAGTAACCTTTTGTGTGATACTTAACCATATTTCTCAAACTTGCATGTGATAATTATGTTTGAACACTAGAAGCCTTATTTTCATGCTATCCTCTATTTGCACGTTAACTGAGAAAAGGGCATTTGTCCTCACAGTTTCAAAAGCCTACAAAGCAGAGGAAGGAGATGCTTATGAAATCAACAGGAAATTTTATCTGGTAAGAAAAACAAGAGTGTACTATGGTCACATGATTCTTTTCCAGCAAGAAGTGCTTAGAGGGGCACAGCAACCCATATTTTCTACTGACTGACTCACAGAAGTGAGTCTGTACAAACCTTGCTGGCTGCCAATTTTCAAATACTGTTTCAGTGAAAATCACTTTTGAAATAAAAGGGAATTAAATGAATTGCCAGTTCTTGAAGCATTTATTAATAAAAGACTGGAAGAACTCCTAACAATGGAGGCAATGAGGCCTTGTTGTCCTCACTAAGAGAAAGTTATGGAGGCAGTACTTGCATACTTGTGCATATGTGAATCTATCTTACCTCAAGGTGACTATGGTTATGTCTATATTAGTGAGTAGCACCGTGCAATAGCAGCTAAACAGTGCTAAAGGACCAGTGTCTCCCCTATATGCTTTTTCGAGGTGGTTAATTTGGACTGGCTCTAGCCAGGTCCCATGGACTGACTGCCCTTTAGCAGCTGGAGCACCAAAACTGAACTTATCAAGAATATTTTTTCTGGTTTCTGTCCAATTCTGGTAACATGTTATTCTTTTCGTAGGGAGGGTTAAAAAATAATGGTGGGAGGATACTGAAAGATAAGATGCCTGAGGAGAAAAACTGAAGTATGAGAATGGGTGTGCTTCAGAGCAGAAAGGAAGAAGCATGGTGGGAGGAAAGAGAACAGGAGTACTGAAAGGCCATCCACAGGGAAAACAGTCACCCAAGATTAGAGGTAGGTTGCAGCTCACATAGGATTAAATACAGACAACAGAAATAGGAACAAATTGGTGCTATAATGAGTATAGCTCTTCATTTGTGGAAATGCTGGACTAGAATAGCTTTACTAGACTTCTCTGTTGGCTTTACCTTCAACTGCTGAGAAATTTGTGGCATACCAACTTTACCTTAATCATGAGTCTGATATAAAACCCCAAATGGCCATAATGAAAGGAGGAGAGGAAATAGTGGGTGTATGCATGTGGTTCCTTATGTGTGTGTAGTTGATTGTGTCCTGTGGCTTTGCAGAGAGCTAAAGCATGGTCCAGTGGGTAAAACAGATCAATAAAAGCTTAAGGCTTTTCCAGGCAGCTGTAACTGTTTTTTAAAGGTGGCCACTTAACTGTGTAGAAACCTTCAGAGTTTCCACTCCACAGACAGAGGGAAAATGTTAATACCCAGGACTATTAACTTGAGTTTCAGATTTAACAGTTCCTTTAACCTTTGGCCAGTGTTGATAGGTCATCTGCTGTAGGTGGTACTGGGAGATCCAAATTTGAACAGAAATACCTGGGCTGTGAAGCTGTGCTGGCTAGGCAATGTACCAAGGCTGAGTTAGAGAAACAAACTCTTCTGGTTGGCTTTATTTTCATCTCAGTGTAGTTCCTCTTTTCCCGAGGAGGTGTGTGTGGGGACACCTGATAAGAAGCACACTGAAAGCTTCTAGTGCTATGGAGATGATGTTCAAAACTTTATGGACTTCTCACTACTGGTATTAGAAGCCAGCTGGGTCAAGTGGCACAGACCAGACTGCTCTTGTTTCCTAAAGGTGTTTTTATTTGAAGAAATCATCAGTGCAACTTTACACTCATTGAGTAATTCAAGCAATGAAAAGTTTATTACTTGTGTAGCTATCTGCATTAATAATGTATTCCAGTTATTTCCTTCTTAGAGAGTGAAAGGGACTTTGACAGACTGTGACAAACACTTACTAGCTTGAATTCTTGGAATTCTTGAAAATCTGAGTCATGCCATTTCCTAATTCAAAATTTCACTGGGGAGCTCCTTCTCCACTCCAACACATACCCATGCCTGGTTGCACACCACAAAATGTTTCACGTGTTATCACAAGTGACTTACCAGGGGCAACTGTTACATTACTGTAGACAGTCAAGGTCCATTTTTGACCAAAACTCTTAACTACATATTGAGCTTGCCTCCCATTGGTTTTGGGGGGTTTTGTTTGTTTCTTGGTGATTACATTCACATAAGACATCTAAAACCAATTTTGAACAAAGATGCTGCAAATCCACCTGTAATTTTTTCTGCAAAATAGCAGTAATTACAAATGAGCAAATTTACAGTATCAAGATTTCCTTAAGACAGCTGAAGAACAGGGCAAACAAACTAATCCAACATACTTCATTAGTCTACAAATGTGCTATTGTTTCTAATAATTAAGTTTGGGTGTTCTACATAAAACATGTAGCAAGATTAACCATTAGATGCAGCTGAGTCTCTGGGCATAGCAAAAAGAGTCTGGTCTAAATATGAATAAGTTCGGGGGGGGTTGCAGTTTTGTTTAACACTAGAATAGCATGAATATTTTCTTCCCATAGTTGAAAACACTGATCAACCCAAGTATTAGTAAATGTGAATCTGACCATCCTGCATAGGTGAAACCTGCAAGGAAACATGGTAAACATGTGTAGTAAGCACAAATATTTTTTCCAAAAGAAGTAGCTTGCTTAGTTGAAAGTAAGAACTAATAACAATCACAATTGCTTTATCAACTAAGGGGAGAAGAAAGGTCTGACTGGATCCCTACCATGGATTATTTCTCTTTTTTACACTGGCAATTACATTTTCTGTTCCTTTTCAGCAGGCATAACTATAAAATGTACTAACCAGGTAAGTGCTTACTCTGAAGCGGAGCATCTTTCATCCTTAACTTTTTTGCTTTGATGAAAAAAAACAACGAAAAGGATATTTGAAGTCCACAGTATAGAATTTAACCACATGCGTGGGAATAGAATTGTTTTAGACCACGAATATCAGAATGGTCAGATCTGCATTCTGTTTTTTTGCCCATCATTTAAATCGTCTTGGCTGTCCCTTTGTTGCCTTTGACTTCCTCTTACAGATGCTGGTAGATAAAATAATCTAATTGAGGCTTCTCTGAATTCTGCTTTATGGTGTGTGAATGTAAGAAATTATTCCATAGTCAAAAGTGTGGGTTGGGTTTTTTGTTTGTTTGTTTGCTTTCTCCTCTTCCTGTTCTTTAGAGAAAGCTGGGTTTGCTCAGTTTAATCAGCTCAATGGCCAAACATTGCACCTTCAAAATTTCAGTCAAACTGATGCCTAAAAAAGTGCTGTCGTGGTGAGGTGAAGTGCTCTGTAACAGTGGTCATACTAGATATACTTTTGCAAATTTCCACATACTTTTTTTTTCCCCCCACTATAGTTTTAATACTGTTTTTATCCTTAAATCTCTTCTATTCTCATGGCAAAAGTTAAGGACATTTTTTGAAATGCATATGTTTTAATCTGTCAGAGGCTTTTCCTCTTCAAACTAGCCACTGTAATATCTTCAGACAATTATTAATTACTTGTGTTTCCGGCTTGTAGTTGCCAGTTGTCCTTCCAAATACACAATTCTTACACTTCCCAAACCAGGGGCAGAAAGAGATTTGCAAATCAGCAAATTCTGCAATTCTGTTTTCATTCTAAACTGCAGTGAAAGATAATTATGAAGCTCCTCACAAAACAGCAATCTGAAAAATGTTGGCTTGCCAATTTCAACAAATTAGGACTGAGGCAGATGAAGAGAGTGCAGGCTTCCAATTCCAAAAGCCCCTGGGTTTGCCACAGAAGCTGGGACTTCCCTGTTCCCTTTCATGTAGTGGGATGGCAGGAGATGGATGTGATTCTCTGATTTCTAGACTACTGGGGCAAGGAATCTGAAAATCCTGAGAGGGCTGCCAGGATCTGTAAGGCTCCTGATATTTCTGACTTTAGAAGAAACAAATCTGCTTCGTAGGCTGTCTGTGGGCCAAGAAAACAGAAGCACTCCCCAGAGTCTGTCTACTGAACTTCTGAGGAGCTCAGTGAGTAAAGCAGCAAGAGTTCAAACAGGATCCCAAGGGAAATGTCTTTGATTTAAAATGTATTCATTAAAAATTCCCTAACAACTGTAATTGTGGATGAGGAAAAGCAAGTGGTCTGCATAACAATGACTGAACATCCCAGGGAAAGTTGCCAGCAGTGACTGGCTGCAAAGTCAGATGCAGCTAATATAAATCTCACAGAATCTCTGCCTCATGGTGTCTCCCAGTGACAGCACATCTACACTGACTTAAAACAGTACTGACACCTTTCCTCAGTTTTATAGCCACAGCTTGCCCTGATCTTATTCCTAAACTCTGAAATGCTTTCAGAGTCATCTGACAGTTGTCCACAGGACCCATAGATCCCACCAACTGAAGACTGATCTGGACCCATGATGTGTCTGAACTGCAATGTTGGCTCAAACTCTCTTTTTTTATGACACTTTGGACATACGTAGAAGTTATTGTCAAAAAACAGTTAATATTTGATTAAAAAAAAACCAAAACAAACTAACCTGTGCAATGTCAAAATAAAACCCAACCATTTCCAACAATTTTGTTTTGTTTGTCTAATATTTTTAAGCCACCCTTTTTCTTTCCCTTCATATAGTCCAGTCTTCTTTCTCTGTTTGCCTACTGGTCTGAAAGACCTGAAAAATCAAGATATATGTCATCGCTTATATGGCAGCAGTTTGGTGTCTTTGTTCAAGATGGCAAACAGGCCACCTTTTTTGTTCTAGAAAGCAAATTTTTTCCACTCAGAGTGGCACATTACAGCATTGTTGCATTCATTTTGTGGAAGATTCTTAACACTGGAAGATGCTTTCACAAATTTCAAGAGAACACTCTAAAAATATCTGGTGAGCTATAGTGACAAGCGATATTTAGGTTGATATGAAGGTTTTAGTAATCACCCATCTTGCAGGCATTTTAAACAAAAGCAAGCCTGTTCAGAAAGCAGGCTGTGTTACCTACCACACATGCTGAAACACTGTCCCTTCACAAGCAGAGGCAGAAGTGGATGAATCCTTTCTGGAAGAACAGCCTTTGGGTAGAAGGAAAAATTGGAAACACTGGAAATAGTAAAGGCAAAGAAGCTCCATCTGGAAAAGGTAAAAATCTTATTTCTGAAAATACTACTTCAGTCCTTGATGTGACTTCTGCAAAGACCACCTTTGCATCTATTAAAATATGCAGGCATGTAACTACTGCAACTGTTAGTGCCAGTATGCTAGTTGACTCTTCTGGAAATGCCACAGGATCCTTCTTTCCAATAAAGTGTACCTTTTCACTTGCAGAATCCATGTTTCAGTTTCTGCTTTCAAATTTCTCTGTCGTTCTCTATTGTAAATCACTGT